ATAAAACAATGATTATTTGACTATGTTTTACAAGAAAATACTATTTCAGTCTTTTTACTTCAAAATTTCAAATTTACTTCCATGAAAAAGATACTACTAGCAATTTCTGAGAGAAAACGGTTTCAAAGTAAATCCTATCACTGCAAAAAAAAAAATTGCACTCATTTCAACAGAAATAATGGGAAACATAAGTTCAGTTGCTGCCTTAATTTAAACCATAATCAACTTGGTTGTGCAAGTAATTTCAACTTGCATTAAAGATTTCAAGATTTCAATTTAATGTAAAATTTCATTACATTAATTTCATACATTAAACTGACTTATTTCATACAAATTATAAAAAAAGTTGAAATTGCTCAACTTATTTTGATGAACTAAAGTAATGTAAAAATTAGGTGCCCGTGACTTACTAACCATTTCATTTTTTACAGTGAACATACACTATTGCTTAGTTTACTTATAGTATTGAAAACAAATTGCCAGTTTTTACGCATTATTTACTCAAAATTCAGTGCAGAAAAAAAATGTATAGTTTCTTTTCTGTTGACAAGACTGTCGGTAGAGTTTGGAATTGATTCACGGAGTAACACTTCTGTAAATCAGCTAAGAGGTTTTCTGGAGGATGAAGGAAATAGAAGAGGTGAAGCATTTCAAAATGTTCTTTAGAGAATCACCAAGGGTAGAAGATCCACCAACCTCCTCTGATACGGGATCTAAATAGAAGCTCTGCAAGGCCAAAGTAGCCGCAGGCTGTTTTCACACTGTTCGATTGTTCATCTGAACCAGAGTTTGATTCCGTCTTCCTCCACCTGCCTTGACTCTTTCACATTGCATTATTTGGCTCAGAATCATGTTGGTTTTGTGTTATCAATTGTATGATAAATCAGTGATATTTTAGTAACATTGAAATACTATTTACTAGATTATAATACTATTACAGTTTTTTTATATTTTGAATTAGTTTTTATTTTTTATATTTTCATTTTATTGTATATTTCTATATTGTATAATAACAGAATAATTATTTAACAGAATCTTAGCTAGAACCACTAAAGTGTTTCCCACATTACACATTTCTATTTCTCATACCCACAGCTTTAGAGCTAGAAGCCAAAGATGTTGTTACAAACTCTTCATCAAACACATCATTCCTCTGAGACTCTGGATCAACGAATCAATTCTCATCTCTAGTCCTGACCTGCTAGCATGAAACGAGAGATTCGTTGTTGAATGTGCATTTCTTCTGGCCTGACAGGTTCTCGTCCCCTGTCTGTCTGTCTATTTGCGAGAGTTAATTAGGTCAAAGACGGGCTGCCCACATCAGACATGCTAAACCACACGAGGGACTCAGGAGGATCAGAATCCTGCTGGGCTCTTTCTATCTGGACAGCTTGAGTCTGGCCTGCTCAGCACAGTCATTGAGTTGCTGTTGCATTTGTAGGTGTCATTGTGAAAGACGTCATGAAAGTGCGGTCGCTGAGATATGTGCTATTGGAGCAGCAGAGGACACACAACTGAGGAGACATCGCACATGAAAATCATGCCACTGCTTTCATTAGCATGCTGTGCTAATGATAATTCATATTATAATGATGCCCATATTATGGCCGATGCCGATATGCATAATTACTTTTATTTTGGCCAATAATCAAAAAGCCAAATATTAAAATTCTATTAAATACAATTTTGCCTAAATAAGTTCAAAATAAAACACACACACGCAAATAAATAAAATCATTTTAAGTAAGTAAATTTAGGCATCACAACATTATAATGTGAATTATAAAAACTAGATATTATATTTAATTGTTATTAAATTATTAGTGTTTATAAAGATTAACTTCAAGTGAGTGTTAGATTATGGCAAAAGCAATCTAAAAATATATGAAATTATATTAGATATTTAATAGTAAAAATGGAAATGGGAATGAGCGTTCACATTTTAAATTGCATTTGCCATCATCTGACACTCAATTAAAGTTAATCTTTATAAAGAAATTAATTAAATAACACTGTAAAATATAGGCCTAATCTTTATTGAATCTGAAAATGAATATAAATCTTTTTTCATCATATTATAATGCTGTGATGCCTAAATTCACTTGTAGCTTTTAAAATGACTGATCTGATTTTTTATATATAATTTATTAGATATTGAATTGTTAATGCTTAACTGATATATTAAAAAAATAATAATAATAATAAAAAAAAAATCTAATCATTTTGAAAGCTACAAGTGAATTTAGGCATTATAACAATAATGTGCAGTATGAAAAATGGATATTCATTCTGATTACATCAAATTATTAGTGGTTATAAAGATTAAGTGTGTTAGACTGACACATGATGATCTAAAAATAGAGGAAATATCTCATATCAACAGATATATATTTTTTAAAAGTCTAATAAAATGTAAACGATTTTACATTTTAGATTTTTTTTTTTTTTAATCTTAAAAAATAAAGATGTCATGTTCATTCACATTTTAACTAAAAACATGGCACAAGCATCACATTATGAGGCACTAAGGACTTAAAATCTGGATGCACCCTTAAACCCCATCCTGCATCGCACCACAGCTTCACCATTTCAAAAAGTGTTTCTCTTAACACACCAGATTGCATAACACATCCACATATCCAAAAGTAAAAATACATTTTTCATCGGCTTCAAACCACCAACAGAACAACACCTTCCCCTTTGAGAAATGAAAGCATGCTGGTACACGCTGACACAAGACAAACTTTCCTGCATGTCTCAGTGTCCAAGAACCAGTCACCTCCCTGTATTTCTCATGTAGCACACCATCCAGAGATGAAATAAAAATGAGGACCAGGCCAGGTCTTACAAAAGAGAAGATAGCTCAGTGGTATACACCCTAATCTCAGCAGTTTATCTTGATAATATGTCTCAAATATATTTAAACAAACATCTTTGCTTTTGCCACTAACCATTTTTCTCTACTAAAACTGAACAAATGGTTTTAGGCAGTGCTTAGATCTTCTTTTCGGTCACCCTCATCACCGAACAACAGACAAAACCAAGTGTCTATCACAGTTCCTGGGAAAGTTCCAGTTCTGAGACGATACAGACACAAACCCTGGAGGCCAGAAGATATGCACCCCTTAAAAAATTCGGATAAATACTAAATCAAAATACAAAAAAATAAATAATTTAAAAAATCATAAATAATACAAAACAAATAATTTTTTTTAAATTACAATTAAAATAAATTAATTTGTGATCAGTCACCCTGCACTATAGATACAGATTTCAGTATTTGTCAATTTAAAAAAAGATAAATGCTAGTCAAGCATGTTTGTTCGTGTATGAGTTCACACATTACACTAATCCTTCTATACCAGTAAGACCTCGATTCAAGCTTCCTGACACAAGCTGCCCAGTCAAACCATGACAAGCACGGATACGCAGGATTGATCCAGCAGACTGAACATATAGACCTAATGTTGAACTGAAGAATCCTGCTGAGATCCACACAACATAGAAAGCAAGAAAGCACATGCTCAGCATGGTTATCAAATCACTATTAGTCTATTCTGCTGACAATATTCACTGCAAAATGTGATATGTCATGTGATTAGACCTGGGGGAACATTAAAACAACCTTCCTAAAACAAGGATCAGCCACACAATATAGTACTGAAACAACAACTTAAAGCACTGATGTGAAAGACACCTGTTGGATCACTAGATAATATATATATATATATATTGTATTCATAATACATGAACACCTCTAACATCCAAATAATCTTTAAACAAAAAAAAAAAAAGGTCAGATTTTGTTTTGTACCGTAATTTACAACCAGCATCAATTAAAAGGTCTGAGTACTCAGTTTAATAACAAATTATTTTTCCATTTAGAATTTGTTTAAATATTTTTAAAATATTTAATAAATGAGTACAAATATTCCATGTGTCATTAGCATGCTGTGCTAATGATAATTCATATTATAATGATGCTCATATTATGGCCGATAAGCATAATTACTTTTATTTTGGCCAATAAGCAAAAAGCCAAATATTAAAATTCTATTAAATACAATTTTGTCTAAATAAGTTCATTTTATTGTATATTTAGGTCAAAAAAAATACGAGCTAATAAAAACAGAATTGTAACCATTTTTAATATTACAGCATAAATACATATAATAACATAATATATAAATATATATTTTGTTAAATTAAATAATAATGGTTAAAAATGTTAAGGGAGGGGCTCTTGGATCCTTCTCAGAGGAGCCAATCAAATGATTCTAAACGAGACTGATTGAACTACCTGCAGGGTCCCTATAACAACATTCTCTGCTTTGAAACAAAGCTGTTGTGTTTGAGGCTTTGTTTTGCTCAGAAATAAACAACTTCTCAGTTTGGAATTAGGGTGAATATTTCCCCAGCGGGGAGACACTTTGTGTCTGTTCTAAAGAAGAGATATTTTGTAACCGATACATATTTTCCTGCTGACGTCACAGAGAGTGGGGAGATACTTTGTCACAATTCGCGGATATTTAGTAACCGCCTCGCGGACGCTTTAAATCTGTTCTACGAGGGAAATAAGCGAAGAAATCAGGAATGAAGGTCTGAAATGCACATGCATGCAGTCACAGGGCTTGACACCGCCTGGGCTGATTCGCAGAGGTTTTTACCACACAATAATAATGTCCAGATTGCCTCACTATAGCCGTTTATGTCGAATCATAAACTCGCCACTGGAACGAGACTCCTCTCTTACACGGGATATGTGTGTATTTTTTCTTCTTTTCCCTCCTCCTGTTCCTCCATTGCTTACTGGCGCAACAGCGTTTCATTTGAACAGTCTCTCGCCTTCCTTCTAGTTTGGCTGGGCGCACACGAACGTATATAGACCGTTAGTGTACAATATACAGATATTTCTCCACATAATCCCACACTATCTATGGGCTGTGTCCGAGCAGTTCAGACTCTTCAGCAGAGAAAAATCACTTTCAAAAGCTCCTTACCTTCTTCCACAAGAGGTTCGTCCGGTTTGGTGAGATGGCCGTGCCTGTATCTATTGTTGTAGACGGGCCGTTATCACTTTGAGAGCTGATAACCGCGGGGAAAGCCCTGTTTTACAGGACTTCTGTCGTTTGCTCCCTCTCTTTACCAGAGCTACCAGCAGCCAGGGCGCTTCAAGTGACGTAACGAAGCGGGATGCGCCCGCGCGCGCGACACTGGCCTCCATGACCGTCGTGACGTGCACGAGCTCTTCTGCACTTCTCGTGCGAGGTGGCAGCACGGAGAGGGGGATATGCTGCTTATATACAGTGGGCTTCGAATGTATCAGCTAATATTTATTTATTTAAGAAGTAGTTGACATTTTATAGCAGTTAGTTCACATGTATTTATATACTTTTTTTTAGATATTTAAATTGTAATGAAATAATTAAAATTAATAATTAAAATAATACATTTTAATATTTATATTTTAGATTTGCATTTTTATTTTTCAACAAATAGTTGATCTTTTACACAAGTGAGTTCACATGATCAGTGCCACCACACTGCTTTATTGCTATTAGTGACCTGTAGTGCAGAATACAAATTATTTCTAAGTAATTTTATCAGTCAAATTGTGTGTATATATATATATATATACAGTATATATATATATATATATATATATA